TTTCCTCTAATAATATAATACTAATTTAATGATTAATATTACTTAATATTATTCATTTATAATAATAATAATAATAATAATAACAATTTATATAACATTGTGTTACTTAATGGTAATTTATGTTTTGCTTTTTTAAACGATTTCTAATTTTTCGACACTATAACAATAAGAAATATGGTTCACGTTGGTTAAGAAATTTCTATTAGGCGTTCGAGATTATTTCCGAGAATTTTTTATTAGCACGTACAACTCGTTTAGGGTGACTGCGTTTGCATCGACGACCTAGAACGATAATGACAGAGACAGGAAGTTGAAACTCCTGTTACCTATGTCTATTAGAACACCTCTCGTGTTAAATTATAAACGTTACATTAACATAATCGATTAAAAATTATTTTTATACATTTGTAAGAAAAATCATTCTAATAAACAATAAGACTTAAATCTTCTATCTCATGAAATATCAATATTAAATATAAATCGAATTAAAAAATCATTTTTTTGTTAAATCATTCAACACGTTGAATTTATTAATGCGTATCAAACTATTAGGTAATTCTAATCGATTATGCCATATTCGGGGGTGGGTGGGGAGGGGGGAGTGGATTGAATAGCTTGGAAATAACAATTGTTACGCTTTGCAATATTTTTTTTTTTTTTTTTTTGTTATGACAAAGACAAATGGTTCTACGTGCAATACGTTGAAATTTATATCATTGCATATCGATTGGTTAATAATTATTATCGTCACAATATTTTTCTCTTATAAATAATAACAATATTATAGTTAGATTTATTTGATATTTTTTTATAATCAAATAGGTATATTTAAATGAAAAGTTTTCTTTCCTTTGGAAAAATTAAATGAAATCACGGTAGGTGTGTATCCCTCTCTCTGTGGTTAATTTATAATTGTTTTTAAACGAGATAAATTAATTTAGATTATTTAATTTTCTTTCTTTTTTCCCCTCTTAAGATAAGATTAATAATAATATTTTTTGGATATTCAAAATAATTTGTTTAATTAATTAATTATGATTAAAATTTGACTAACCTTGGAGTGCATATCTTTTCGATCTTCCATCGTAACTTGGTCCTACTTTATCTTTAACACCGCATCTTGATAAAGACATGTAATAAGACGTTTCTTCGTTCATGGAACCTGAAACATAAATTAAATTACGAATGTTAATTAAAACTTTTCTTTTTTTTTTACATTTTATATATATATATATATATCTTTTTTTTTTTTTAATATAATATGTTAGATACGTGTGTTACAAGTTTTCATCATTGTAATTTCATAATTTATCATACATACATTTACTATTGTTTATTTTTTTAATCGTGAATTTGTATTGAACATCTTTGAATATTTTTCTTATTGAAAATATTTTCTAAAGAATTAATTTTTCTTTTTTTTTTTATGGATTATACACTTAATAACCATTGTATGTTGGTTTCCTATTTCACGACTTGTATCGATCCTTGAAACAACGTTTATGGTCTATTATTATCAGCACGAAATGGTTGAACAAACATTTGTATACGTGCGAGGATGTGCGTGCATCCTTCGATCAATTATTTATGCATTTTATACTTTCCTATGTATTTACTATATTCACGTATACTACTGTGAATAAATTATTATACGAAAAGTGTTAGTGTGTGTAAAACATATTTATACGATTTTTATTATTTTATTTAATTCTAATAGAAAGAGAGAAAACATAATTTCAAAATATTATTCTACAATTTTATTGTAGAATAAAACAATTCCGTAAACGATTGAATTAATGGTTTTCTATCGATATATTTGATGCATTTTTCTTTTATTTTAAATTAAACAATCAATATATAGATCTCGTTACATCGGTAGACTGCACAAGAAAACATTTGTTAATCATTTATTCGTGTCTCTAGGAAGTTCGTAACTTTTTGTCATAATCGTGATCACGTTTTTATTCGAACAATATAAATATTATGTGTTTTATGTATAATATAAATGCATAGTACATTTATATATACACCATCATGAATATTCATACAATTTTTTTTTATCGTTAGATAATTCTTCCGGTTTTATCTCTTCGTTCTCTTTCCTTTTTTTTTTTTATATTTTTTATTTATTTCTGTGTTTTTTTCTCCATCCATCCATTCATTATATTTTATTTAATCGTTTCTTTCGATTCGTTTTTTATTCCTTTTTTTATTTTATTTTTTTTATTTCAAGATCCCATGGATAACGATTCGTTACTTCGAGTTTCTCGTGAATCGCGTGTATGTATTTATTTTTTTTGTTTTTTTTTTGTTGTTGTTGTTTTTTATTATTTTCCATACGTATTATCTTTAGCAACATACACTTGGGGGTCTTCTTCACTTATCTCGTATTAATTCCTTCTTAACGCTTACGTGGAATTTATCCTTGACACCCATTCCTTACGAGACACTTTGTATTCTCTCTTCCGATATATCATTTTATTATATTTTATTATCTCACTTAGACATTTATTATAGGATTGCGTGTTTTCTCTCTTTTTTTTTTTTTTTTAAATCACATCCACACACCATTGTCTATTTTTTTTTCTTTTTTAAATGATATAGGTTTTTGTTGTTGTTGTTACAATCCAATTAATGAATTCCACGAGTTACTTTGTTTAATATTTTTTTTGTTTTTTTTTTCTTTTAAATCGTTTACGTGTTACATGCTAAAATAATTACGTATTAATATTAAACGTTGTTACACGTTAATGCTGTAATTTTCTCAACGATGCTAATAATCGGTATTAAACATTCCATCGATTTATATGTTACTAAGAAAACTTGTTGAATTATTTCTAAAGATTATGTTAGTCGTAATTTGAAAATATCTATGGTATTAGTAATAGTTCATTGTAAATTACTTAGTATATGTACATCACTTTTTTCTTTCCTCATTCGAAAAAAACAAGGAAGACAATTATTTATTGTTACGTTATTTTATTTTGAAAAAGTATTTCTATTGCGTTTAATATCGCGTGAGAGAATAATATTCTTGCTAAGATAAAATACTTGACGACTTTTTTGTTTTTTCTGTCTGTTTCATTTACACGTATTACAAATCTTTTATAAATAATATTACAATAACTTTTTTCTCTCTATCGGATTGTTTAATGATAAATATTTCTATCGATTGTTATTAAAAAATAATACAATGGGTATATGCGTGACGATAATTACGATAATATATTAAATCAATAAAAAAACAATTGTACAAATTTATATTTTCTATTAACATAAATTATTTTGAGATGCAATTTACAAATTATAAGAATTCATTTGTTCTTTTTGTTCAAATATTTGTCAGGATCATCGGTGAGTGTAATTTTAAATGATTTTTTTTTCTTTTTTTTTTCTTTTTCACTTAGCAACAAGTTTAGCAATAACCCAACAAACGTGTAATACCATAGTACGATTTATGAATCATCATGGTGAAGCGCCACTACCACCTACAACATTAACGTGTTTCATCGAACTCTGAATCATGCTTTAAGTGTCATCGTCTACGATGATGATCATTGGGATCGAAGAAATTACCTGTCGTTAAGGTTTCTCATCAATTTTTATTTTTCATTGACGAATTCATCACAACTATGTGATCATGTAATTTTCATTTTATTTTCTCTTACGACAAATACTTACAAATACTCTTACATTAAAATATTCTATTGAAATTTGTTAGAAAAATTTCAAATGAAAAATAAAAATACACAAGGTTATAAGTATCGAAGATAATAATTTTGCATTAACATAAATTCAGACTAGTTTGACGAGTTTCTTCGTTCATTCTCTCTCTCTTTCTTTCTCGTGTGTCAAGGCTATGACCTTGACAATGATCGAAGGAAAATGTTTGCCTCCACGACTCTCTTAATATTTTTCATTCCCCCAACTAAATTTACTCACAAGAGAAAGAGATAGAAAAAGAAAAAGAATTATGGGGGTTAGGGGGAGAAAAAAAAGGGAAGAGCTTTTTGTATCTTTGTTTTCCTTCGAACAACTATTTCCAATAATTTTTTCAATACTTTTTCAATCTCTTTTTACTTACTCAAAGACCCTCTCAAACAAAGAGAGAAAGAGAGTAGGATTAACAAAAAGAATCCTTCGAAGTTAGTTGTGGGGTTCTGTTGGTCCTTCTTAACTGTCTAGACACCAAAGAATGCACTTTTCCTTTTCAATGTGCAATACCACGATCTAACGAGATTTATCATTTTGCATATTTTCTTTTTCTTCATTTGTATCTTTTTATTTCAATGTTAACGAATTAATAATACACATTTTATTATAAATATCTGTCAACGTTTAACATTAAACCTATTATACATGAGAGGTCAAATATAATTTGGAACAAATGCAATAGAAATGCATAAAATGTAAACATTATTTATTTATAAATCAAATAAAATATATCGTATAATACTTTAATTGATTAAAATTTTGTTCTATTTAATATAAAATGGAAATATTAATAGGTATATTAATTTAATGGGTTTATTTTCAATTTTGTTGATCAATCATTTGATCACTCACGAAGTGTATTAAGTTGGTTTAATGTTAAAACGTTTATCCGATCGTGAAAATGTTTTTAACCAATATGATTGCACATTAATTAGAAAAAAAAAAGTCTAATATATAAATATTTTCTGAGTAAGTATAATTAAACGTGTTCATTGTCTATATATTCTGATTCAATGTTTATCAAGAATTTTTAAATGTATATATGGGTTTCATTAAAAAAAGATAGGGTTGTTCGATTCATCGAGAATGTATTATAAAGAATGACTTTTGAAACTGGGACTTTGATATTCGACTCATATACATATACATATATATTTTTATAGGTATGCATGTATGATTATCTATCTAATAGATTAATTCATACGTTCTCTTTTTAATTAGTCTGATCTTACTAATTTTACATTGCACATGTCGATCATGTGAGTCATGTGAATACGACATTGAATATACGCATATGTTTAAAGTATGTAATACATAAAACATGTAGAGACGATTAACGTTAGGGTTTGCTGATTCATGTTCATTAAAACACGTTTGAAAATAGAGTAATGTCTATTCATATGGAATAAAACGTATAAGGTGGTGGTGGTGGTGGTAACTTGCTTATGTAAATTATTATATTACTTATGTGTATCAAAAGATATATATTAATTGTGTATATAATATATAATAATTGGTGTAATAAATAATAAGATTTGTTTTATAGAATTTTTACAAAAGTATTAGGATGAATTAAAAAGGTATAGAACAAAAATAATTATTTTAATTATTTTTTATATGAATAATTTATTCTATCCTATGTTGAAGATAAAATTAGATAGATTGTAAGTAAAATTCTAAATGGTGGGAATAATTTGTACACAATTTTAAAGATAAATAAGAATATTTGAATGAGAGAGAGTTGGTGTGATTTTCAAAAAAAATAAATAGATACAAGTTTCTTTAATAACGTACCAGTTATGTTGATTCCAGCAAGTGCTTGAAATTCTGAGATAGCTTGAAACATCGATTCCTCCGAAATGATTCCACCATTTTCAGGATTGACGGATGGTAAATATCCATACTGCGAGAGGTATCTCTGTAATGTAAAGAACAAAAAAAATAAGAAAAGGAAACATTAGTCAAATATTCTGACCGATTACACTACTCGTTTAAAATCAAATACATTATTTTTCCTCAACTGATAATTTTGTAATATTTTGTTTAGAAATTCATTAGTTTCATTAATAATCTTCGTTAGAATTGAAAAATGCGAAAAAGTACGAGATAAGTATTGAAACTAAATTAATATTTCGAATAACAACGTTAGATTATCATTTAAAACATTTGATTAGAAACAATTATTTTCAAACTTGTAAATCTAAAACATTTTAAAAAAATCCCCATACATATATATTTTTTTATGGGACATGTATAATTGAGACATCCCCTGTGCATGTATACTTCGTTAATAATTTTCTATCAATGATCAAAGTATATAATATTTAATATTTCGTTGTATATAATTAAAATATAATCGATAAAACAAACAACGTTCTTATCAGCAAATAATTTCTTAGCTAAGCTTAATTAGAATCTATTCTATCCGATAAAGAAAAAAAGAAAATCCGTGCAAAATCCCAAAGAAAAAAAAAAAAAAAAAAAGATAATTATTTAAACCTAATATCTCTATTATATTATCTTAAACCGACCTTGCGTTTATTTATCGAAATTTTNAAAAAAAAAGATAATTATTTAAACCTAATATCTCTATTATATTATCTTAAACCGACCTTGCGTTTATTTATCGAAATTTTGTAAAACTAATATCACAGATGTATACATCCATCGTATTTTTTTTCTTATCCGAGTGTAAATTTGTCAACGTGATTTTTATTTACATTTTATTCGTCACCAAAAGTAAGATAAAAAAAAAAAAAAAGAAAAGAAATTTTAAGGTTTTTCCCCCATAAACTATCTCACTTTTGCAATAATTATTATTTTTTCTTTGTAATACACGTATAACATTCGATTATATTTCTATCAATGAAATTGTTTTTCTTTGAAAAGAAATAAAGAAATAATGAAAAGAATAGAACAGATAATTGTTAAAAGATTTCAATATGATTAACGTCACATAGAAATATACTAATAACAATAAATAATAATAATAAGAAGAAGAAGAAGAAGAAAAAGAAGAATTAAGAAATGAAAGTAAAGTTTTGTATAAATAATTGTGTAAACGATTGATATTCATGTTTTATTCATGTTAGTACTTACATACGTAAGTATTTACCTAGATTTCTAGTATCTAAAAATATATCACATATATACCTATTGTTACATTGACTAGACTCGAATGAACTATTCTGCATTTGCATCGATATTTCCAAATGAAATTTAGGGCAAGGACCAAAAACCGAGGTCGACACGATTTCCGTGTCTATCGTGTATTATAGAAGAACGAAAGTGGATTAAACGATTTGAAATGTGGATTGAAACCCGTTATGAGAATCAAATATATATATATATATTATATATTATGTGTGTATAAAGGCTTTGAAAAAATCATTTCTTACTCTATCTATTTTTTATTATTTTATTTTACATTTATTTTTGTATTTTTTTTCTATTATATATAAACTTTTCATTACTACGGTCATTTATTAAAATGCTTGAAATAAATATTGAAAAAGTATTGTACATTCGTTTTATATTTTATTAAAATATATTGTAATATTAATGAAAAAAGAAATAGATATTAAAAAAAAAGCGTTGTTAAACTTAACATATATCAATGAGAAAATATTTTAGTTTAAATTGATAGTTATATTATTATTAGATTAATAATAATAATTATTTGAATTGAAATGTAGGATATTATAAAAAGTAATTTTGTTTTTTAAAAGAATGATCAATGATAATGATAATGATCGAAGGTTAGTGACCTAATCGATGACGATGGGATTTAACAGTTATGGTCTCGAGATTCATGGGATTTCATTAATATTCTGCTTACGATAGTAATCTATCTATCTGTATTATTAGTTAGGATAGTCGTATAACAGTAAATTTTGATTGAAATAAATGTTATAAGAATATTACGATAAATCGAAAAAGATTATGTTCATTTGACGACAATTACGAATTATTGTTTGATCGTTGAAATATATATTAAACAAAAAATGTTTAGTGTCGTTAACGTTTGTGTCCAGAGATTTTATTTCTTTTCAAATATTTTCTTTCATCTTCTTCTTTCCTATTTTCGTACAATAGAAGAACATTCTTCTTAGCACACGATTTTATTTAGGTCAAGAAGTTATACGTGCTTGGTGAAAGTATAACTCGCTCGAATTATTGATTATGCGAATGGTAAAAACGCATTCTGACGAAAATTTGCGTTTCCAAAAATATTGCATAATATTTGTCAGAAACAAAAGAAAAAAAAAAGAAAAAGAGGTATATTAAATTAACGACATAATTATTATTCGATTTATCAGATTATAATTTGAATTAAGAGAAATGACTGTGAAATATAATATTTATGAATAGTTCGAATTAATTGCATTCATTTTTACGATGATTCATACTTATTAATACTGTACTATGTGTGTGTGTGTGTGTGTGTGCGTGCTCTAGGAAAAAAATAAATGTACAATTAAGATAATTTTCTCAAGTTCAAAAAAGTTAAACGATTGTTCTGTCTTATTTTCTGGATTATTTTTTTTTTTATCGTTATCGATAACGATTCCAACAAAATTGACACGGATCTTAAAATCCGCGAAACGAAGATTAACTTTACGTGGATTTTTATTTCATTTACTGTTAATTTCATATACACACACACACATACGTGAAAATATGAAGATAAGAAGTGTAAATAATTCTACGGAAATGTACGATAATGAAAAACGTAAAGTTAATAAGACAATGAGATGCTGTCATCCATGAAACATATTATTATTTATGTCGAATCATTGCGATAATTATTTCCTTTTATTTTTCTTCATTTTATTTTAACGTTTACCACTCGACAAGTGTTAAAAATTCATTTCAAATTACGATTATTTCTATTAATTGTCATCCAATATTTGTTTAGAAAAAAATAAATGGAATTTCATTTGGGTTATAAATTGCAACTCGTTTTTTTTCGGATGTTACGTTTTACAATTCGATACGAAAATCATCTAAAACAATGGCATTGAATATTTGTTCTTGGGTGCATTTTTGAAATATTATATTATACATATATATAACAATACATATATAT